ACACTATATGTCTCACATTTTTAGATTATAATGCATTTTATATTGATCAGTCCTATTAACTAAACAAGGAATTTGCTAGTTTAGTCAATTTAAACTAAACTAGGAACCATACTAAGAAAACTACAACCATGGAATTAACCGTCTTTGTAATAAATTATTGTACACTCATAGTATGGTCTTGTATTTTCGGGTTTGATGAACGATTTCAACAAATAACTTTTCTAGTATTTCTAACTTTCATTGTGTGATGTGGCCTAGCGAGAGACTTGGAGCACAGATGTCACCCACAGCATCACACAACAGATTATTGATGACGTCATCACCATCTGGGAATCCACCTTTGTGTTGTTCCTAGTCACGTGATGTTATATGACGTGCTGGGAGTTACATCAGCATAACACTGTTACTAGGTCAAGTTGTAAAATATTTGTATTCAGGATTTCCGCTGATATATGTAGATCCTAGTTTTTGAATCAAATTTAGTATGAAACGAAAAACCATTAGGGTTCTAAAACTATTGGTAAGAGTTTTACAAATCCTTATCAGCCGAGTTTAGTGCTTCAAGAAAGTTGTGTTAAAAAGTGTGTCAAAGAGATTGAAGACAAAATATCTGGCAAGGGAAGCTAATGTGGCTACATCTTGCTTGGATCAATAGTTTTTAGAATTGCAGTTTAGCTTATCGTGAGTTCCAGTTAAACATTTAAGTAGATCTTTCAATGTATAATCAAATTTATAATTCACTCTACAAGAAGTACATCTTACCATAGCTTAGAGTAAAAATGGTTAAATCTAACAGATTGATTCTTTGAAGGTAAAACCATGGTATAAAAACAGGTGTTTTCATTACACCATGTCATTTTAGTGCAATAACCTTCCACCCTATAAAAAAGTCTATTATACTTTCAAAGGATGGATTAATTGTTGAGTTAAAATCTTATATGGAATAGGTACTGTGAATATGGAAATATAGGCCTATACTATAAAATTACTCATACTGAAAGGTCTTTGAACACATAACCATGAAATAAACTAGCAGCCTTCAATAACTCAGGGGATTAGGGATTGTGAAGGGGCTTAAAAGTAAGGCTATACAACAAACTATACTATGGTATAACATTGGAAGCTATCTACCATCGAAGGAGAGAGAAGTATTAGTTAACTTTAACAAAGGCTGACTTATTACAAACAAATAATGCAAGACGATAAACTTAAATATTTACCCTTAATTTAAATTTCAAAGGAATATTGTTGTATGAATCAGTAGATAGTATAGCATATAGATAGTAAATATTTGTCTTGTTCTAGACTTTCCAATATTTTGTTTAGTTTTGTCTTAAAATTTTATCCTGTCCAGAAATATTGAAACTGTAAATTAGTAAAACATTACTAATTATTTAAATAATATTTTCAATTGGTTTAATGATTTTAAATGACTTTATAACTCTTTTAGCCTTAAAATTGTTTATTGTACAAAGCGAATCAATCGTAATTCCAACATATTTTAACTTCAAATTCTTTTTTGTATTATTCAGCCTTAACTTAGTGGGAAAAATGTGGCTTGCATCATCATTATATCCATCTATTATCAATCTTTGTATACATCTGATGGTAAGTTAATATCCTTGAACGTCAAAGTAGCATTATATGAGAATTTTTTTTTAACTACCTAACGTAAGCAGGTTTTGTTTCTTGTTTTGTTGTAATATTAATAACAACTCTTTATTTGGTAAACATTTTACAAAAATAGTTTTTATGTCGTTGTTTCCGTATTTATACATTCATTTTCTTATGAGTACATTGAAACCATGGGTTATAAAGTGTTTTACATCTCACAAAATGAAAAAAAGATTAAATTTTAAAATAATAACCCTCTAAGCATGCCTAATTTTATTAAATAATTGTTATCTTGATTCATTGCAATGGTGATTACTTTCGCGTGGGTGCCATCCCTTATAGAATATCGTAACCTTTCATTAAAGTTATTTGCAATAAACAATCGTCTTCAAGGTCGTTGCTATGTTACGTTTGATACTAATGATAATACGACTACGAAGTAAAAAGTGTAAAAGGGCCTTATCAAGAAGTTAATATTTGTACATATTTTAAGTAACGCTATAATTAGTATGATATACAAATAAGAGTCATGTTGTGATGGATAATTTTATATTTGTTTTACAACACAACTTTTCCAGTAAAAAAGGGACGTTTCAAAATTAGTAACGCGTCAGGGGGTCCAAAAAGGGGGAGGAGTTAAGAAGAAGAAGGGGTCTCGAATGTAGTTTGGGTCCTGAAAAAAAGAATAATTAGTTGTTACAAGCAATGCAGTGTTTATATTTTAGTGACAAACAAACACATTACAAGAGTACGAAAATGGAATGATTTATTGAAACAAAAAACCAATAGATGAACTGAAAAGAATATGTTGCATTAAGTATAATGTAAACCAGTACACTATATGAGTAAATATTGTTTAATTTCTTTTCTTTGTTAAAAAAATATTTTTATAAATGTTTTATGATTTATGAAAAAAGGTAAGTTTCTAAATCAAATAAATAAAATCGTTAACAGTATAATTTTTCTGACATGACTTTAATTGGCGTATACTAGTTCTCATTGCATTTTAAATTTGTTACCTTTACGTTAATTCACAAACCGTTAGAATCGTTTAACAAAATTAATTATTAGCATTCAACAAACATGTATTTATTTTGTATGTACTAATTATTATGTAATCGTTATCACATACAAATCAAGATTTTACATCATGCAAGAAAAACTATACTACGTGCAGGATAAGATAAAGGCTTTTGAAATAAATTATATTTGACTATTGCAAGAATACTTACACCAATTAATAATAAAGCGAATGCTGTAACAGCTACGAGAAATATTGGCGTGAACATCTGTAATAAAACATATTCTACAATTTTACACAACTCCAAATGTAATAAGTGACAATATTAACTCTTATTAGGATGTTAAATTTAGCGTATTAATATGAGAGGCTATACCTGTAGACTGTACGTTAGGATCTGGGTTTCTTAATAAAGTTTCCGGTTATTTAGCTTTAATGTTAAATTTTGTTCATTCTTTGTTGAGTTATACAGTTTAATTACCACAATTATTTTGTCAATAGATTAATCATCATAGTGGTATTATAAATGGGCGTACATCAACTCCAATTTTAAACAGTAATGGGCAAAGTTGCAAAAAGGTACAGCTTAAAAAATATAGTACAAGAGAACCTTTTATCAAATTCAATGACAGTCCAAACATGTAGTCATGTTAGTATAATTTACAAACATTTGATATGTAGGTTTTAAAGTTTATATTTGAATTTAGCCTCCTGTACTTAACGAAAAAAAATTAAAATAAATATTGTTTTTTAACAAATAATATACTTACATTTACAATTGCTGCAAAGATATGAGTGCTTCTTTTAAATTCAATTGATATCTTTCCTATTTTAGTTCTGATATTTATTCGTTTTTCTAAAACACTTTCTTTTACATTCCATTGTTTCCATACAATTGATTAGTAATAAAACCGATTGTAAATCTATTGTAAAGGCGAAGAGAGCATTTTATTGGTTACACACATTGTTTGTAATAATAGTCTATTACAATCGTGTTTTTGGATGAGATAAACAGTTAAATTGTATAATTAAAGGTTATAAAGTAAAATGATTTATTTTCAAAGCTTCTTGCTGACTAGTTGCATACTGTTACTTAACTTAAAAATGACTTTGTTGGTTTTGTTTTCATCATAACTCAATGGATCATAACGCTTGAAACTCTCTTAACATCATTAAAACATTCAAAAGAGTAAATTGCCATCCCTTCCAAAAAGTAACGCTTAAATTTTTAGTGATTTTATGTAGAGGTGTTTTTATTGAAATTGTGTTTTATTAACACTAACATGGCTCTATATTGGGAGTGTCATTGGACTCGATATTAGCCCATGTACTTCAAATCGTATAATTAACTATTATATTTCTTAGAACTTATATTTTCACCACATTATTATGTTTTTAGCTTTTTTATAAATGCTGATTGCAGACCGAAAGCTACGTATTGCTGTCCATGCCGGCTGTCGTCGTCATTTGGGGACCGAGCAGGTTTTCCCATCCCTAGAGCCGAAAGGCGTTTGCTTAATTACTAAACTTAAAATATTAATTTACTAACAGAGCACCCGACCTTCGTACGGGGTTGGCATATAAGTATAAAATGCTTATTGCAGTTATATTCAAGCTTTGCGTTTGCAATTGGGGGAGGACACAGTTTGATAAAATTTGGTGCGTAAATTTACGGTGTGGTATAGTATAACACATCTACCATTGCCATAATGTTCTACCACTGCACCTAAACAATGTAAAAAATAAATAAATTATCAAACATTCGCACAATATCACAAATTATTCATTAAATTAAAAATTCAAACCTAACTGTTAGTAAACAATCTTACTTTGACGGTTCTCTTTGTGTATCACAGCTTCTTGTTGCTGCTTAATTCAAATTAGCTGTTGTCATATATGCAAAAACAAAATAATAATAGTGCTGCACCCTGTTCGGAAACCTTATAACTTTTTAATGCTATTGAATATTATATAACCAACTTGTAAAGTTGAAACAGCTGACTAAATTCTTTAATTCCCTTTAAATATAAATACTCATAAGGTTACCATGTGGAACTACAGAGCCACTGGGGTGGAGCCCAAAAGGATTTTTGAGAAAAAATATGCCTTAATGTTAATCGGAATGTGAGCTATCATCATGCCAAATTTCGGCCCAATCCGTCCAGTCGTTTATGCGTGATTGAGCAACACACACACACAAACTCACAAACTTTCAGATTTATAATATTAGTAAGATAAGATATTAAATACTCTATGATTATGAATTAATTGACCTATTGAATAATTTGTAGTAAAACAACTGTGTACTACTTGCTTGGAACGGAAAAACGAATGAAAAAATTATTTATTTACAAAAAAAAAACTCTGTTATAAGTAATATCACGGTAACATAGGTATCCAATTCTGTTTACGAGCTTACTGTATTATAGAAATTAGTTCTGAAATAACAAATAGAAATCCATGCGATAATACATACGTTATTATGTGGCTATAACTGGTTGAAAATAATATTACATTTTTTAACCATAGTTAAAATGACCGGCTGTTCGGTTGATACACTAAAATAAACTGTCTTTAGCTATTTTTGAGATAAAAAAGTATTATTATATTTTGGTATATGTACTTGTTTTTCTGAAACCTATGTTGGCACTTATCTATAATGTTATTCTCTGTCATAAATCTGTTCACATTTAGAGATAAATATAGTTCCATTATTTGGTGTATTGCACATAGTATTGATTGGTATGTGTTGTACTAACCACTGAATTTTGAAGTGTCGTTTTATTTGGGAAAAGTTCGCTAAGACTAAAGGGAATATGTCATTTTACAGTTAACAGGTGTTAGTTTTGAAATAACAGGTATAATTTGATGTCAAACAAAGAAGATCTTGAAAACGCATTTCAAACATGAGTTTTCGTGTATGCAACTCGTCGTATAAGCGAGCAAATATATGATAAAATGAATAAGTGACTGCGGAGAAGTAAACTATGCACCAAATTTTACTACATAGTACGGTAAACTGCATTGATCGAACTGCATTTATACAATTGGTCTAAAACGTGCTGAAACTTATAGTAGGCCTTAACTAAAATTTATTTCCGTGTAGCAATGACACAAACTATAAAATATTAGATTGTTTTCGTGTTTTGGAAAATTATTGCTACTAAGAAAATTTGTCAAGGAATTGCTATGTAATATAGTAGAAAGTTGCTAGGCAGTTGTTGTACCGTTGCAAGGTTGGAAGGTTAAATGCTTTTGGTTCACCGGAATCATGTTGGTTAATATTATTGAAGTCAACATTGTTGCGACCACTTACTACCTGAGATTGTAAACTTTGTACAAGCTTACTGTAACTATGGAAATTGTTCTGATACAGCATTTATAAATGTATGAGGTAAAACCGATTATTTAGCTTTACGAAAATTGTATTTGACCTATTTCACATTATTTAATGTGTTCAGTTTTTTATTGAACATTATTTTTTTCTTTTAATTAAAATGACCAACTTACTTACTTACTTACTTACTGCAGTGGCCATAGGTACCCCAAGTGGTACTTGGCCTCGCCTACACATTGCCTCCAGCCTTCTCTGTCCTGCGCCTGGTCTTCATTTCTACCCAGCTTCCTCAAGTCCCGTCGCACCTGGTCCTTCCATCTCAGTTTAGGCCTGCCTGGTGGCCTTCTGCCTTCTGGGTCGTTCCTTAATACACTGCTTAAGGTTGTGCCATGTTCTCTTCTGAGGAATGACCAACTACATCTGAAAATTATTATGTATTTTGACTTTGTCAACTTTAAGCTATTTTTGTAACAATAGTTACCAAAACTATTTTTGCTAAAGCATGATTAATAAATAGTTTTGGATGGTGTAAAAGCAAGCGTAGGAAACCACTTATCATTTTACTTGAGGCAATAATTAATTGCTGCAGCAATTATGTTTTTTTGTCTGATGGTTAAGGACAAAATATTGAAATCTCATAAAATATCTTAAAGATTTATTCATTCAACCCTCTTAATCTGTTCCGTAACTGACATACTTTATACTTTGAAACTTTATATTTATCAATAATCGTAATTTTAGTACTATTTTTTTATTGACGCATAGCTGGCTGAAAGGTCTAGAAAGCTGGCAGAAGGTGGTGGGTTAGTGAATAAAAATTTGGTTTACCAAAGTTTATTGGTGTATTTTTAAGATGAGCTAAGATTAAAGATTAAGACTGGTCATGAAGAATGAAGGCTGAATTAACTCGGGTGAATTATAAAGGCTGGATTAAGGTCATGAAGGCTGGCAGAAGGTGGTGGGTTAGTGAATAAAAATTTGGTTTACCAAAGTTTATTGGTGTATTTTTAAGATGAGCTAAGATTAAAGATTAAGGCTGGTCATGAAGATTGAAGGCTGAATTAACTAGGGTGAATTATAAATGCTGGATTAAGGTTATGAAGGCTGGCAGAAGGTGGTGGGTTAGTGAATTAAAATTTGGTTTACCAAAGTTTATTGGTATATTTTTAAGATGAGCTAAGATTAAAGATTAAGGCTGGTCATGAAGAATGAAGGCTGAATTAACTAGGGTGAATTATAAATGCTGGATTAAGGTTATGAAGGCTGGCAGAAGGTGGTGGGTTAGTAAATTAAAATTTGGTTTACCAAGGTTTATTGGTGTATTTTTTAGATGAGTTAAGATGAGTCGTGTATGCCAACGTTATATTTTTATTAAGATACGATTTAACTTAAACATTTTTGTTTAATAAGACTTATCAATAATATTATATAATTTCCAAAGAGATTCAATGTAGTTCTTCATTACCATGATAAAGAAAAGTTGTCATAATACAGATACAAGAAATATGCTATTTTCACTATACAGCTGCAAGTGCTGCATCTACTAGTAGGGATTTGTAATTAATTGACTGTCAGGGATTGACGTTGCGTTTAAATTACCTAGTTTCCATTTTACAAAACAGAGGTCTCATATGGTGCCTCAATGGTATTAAAGGTCTAAGTTGTAGTTAGTTCGTCTCAAATTAATTACATTCTGATGGAAGTGTTATTTTTCATTTGGACATGAAAACCGCTGATTGTTTACGTATCGTGTCCTAATGTGTAATGTTGAGCTAAGCTACTTGGTTAAATGTTAGCCACAATTTACCCTTTATATGTAAGAAATAGTGTTATCCTTGATCGTTTTAATGAACAGTTCAAAAACCCTATTTGTACATATCTAATTAGTAATTTAAATATTCGTGGTTTTATTCTCTCATTACTGTTTGTACATAGAATATTTTTTATTCAGTTTTACATTAATACTTCTTGCTTGAAACACCTTAGTAAGGATTATTTTAATATTCACTTGATATATTCTTATATACTTATTATATTCTTAAACTTATTCTTATTCTTCTTCTAATACTTATTTACTTATAGTTATTCTTAGTATACTTGATACATTGATATATGATTATTTAAATATTCACTTTTTATATTCGAAATTGATTTTTTAAAACGTCTGAAAAGTTAATGTTAATTTATCAAACATATTTGAAGGAACACTATAATTAGTATGATTTACAAATAAAAGTCATGTCGTGAAAGATATTTTATTTGTATTTTAAAACACAACGTTTCGTATTCAGTATATCCCAGTGCATAAAATAACATGTTAACCGAGCGGGATTTGTGTCGCCCAGTTGCTATGGGTAGTGCCAGCATATTTTTTTAATGATTCACATTTTAAATGAATCGAAATTTATGTCAAATTACAAAAGCGTTCTGTTCTACACTTTATTACTTCTAATTACTATGATTTTTGCTAAAGTAAATATAACTTAAGCCTACTCACACGCCCTGTGTTAATTAACGACGGCGGACGTTATTTAACATAAAACGATGTTAAAATAAGCAAACATTTCGTTTAAAAATTATTATTTTTTTTTAGATTTTCTGTACAGTATTGATGGAATCGATTTGTAAAAGGTATAATCTTAACCAGGGAATGAAATGTAGTTAATAGAACCCCCGTTAGTACAGCGCCACTGTCACCCGGTGGAAGTTCCATTGGTTAGGAAACGTAAATGTGTCTCCCAGACGAATCACGTGGAGATATGTGGAGATCTGCTAGTGCGCCCTGAAAAATAAACAATAATTAGTTCGTTTATAATTATAATTTTTAATAATTAGTTATTACAAGCAACGCGATTATCATTTTTAATTTTAGTGAATATCAAAAACAATACAAGTACTGAAAAGTATACGTTGCATTAAGTATAATGAAAATCAGTACACTCTATGAGTAAATATATTTGGTTCTCTTTTCTTTGTTAAATCGATATTTTTCTATAAGTTTTATGTTTCATAGAAATAGTCTTAAATAAAAAAAAATAAATAAAATTTAAACAGTAGACTTTTCTAGCCGTTACATGACCTTGATTGACGTATACTAGTTCTCGTTGCATTTTAAATGTGTTACCTTTTATGTTATTTCAAAAACCATTCATATTGTTTGGCCACATTAATTCAAAACATACAACAAATCCGTATTTATTTTGTATGTACCAATTATTTTGTAAACATTATCACATCCAAATCAAGCTTTTAAATCAAATACGATTAAAGCCATACTAAGTGCAAGTTAACATACAAGCTTTTAAAATGAAATTATATTTGACTATTGCAAGAATACTTACATCAAGTAATAGAGCCAATGCTGTGACAGCTACGAGAAAAGCTGGCGTGAACAACATCTGAAATGAAACATTTTCTGGAAAATGTACACAACTCCGATTATAATAAGTGTTAATATTAACAATGATTATGATGTTAACTAAATAAATATTAATATACAGGGTGCCCTTTAAGTAAACTGCCAAACTCTGGGGTAGAATAAGACATGAACTCGTCAGGTTCGCCCCATTTTACAATTAAAAATCGTAATATTTAATCTATTTCTTATTTGATCTTTTTTAACTTGGTATCGTGCGATAGGGAATTACATATGCTAAATAAAAGTGTTCTCGACATTTGTTCATAAAACTAGCCGTTTTCAAGAAATTTAAAATTAAAACATCAAAACGGCCGCCATTTTCAAATGTTTATTGAATCAAGATGATTTTTTATTGGTATTTTCGACCTTAACCTAAATACAAAGTTTTATAAATATCGGTTGAAAATTTACAAAATAAAAATGTTTATTTAAAAAAAATACAAAATGGTGGATATCTGGTTAACGAAACGATTTTGGACAAGGTGTTACATTTGATTTTATCTTTATTTTGACCCCATAGAACCATTTCCTGGAGTTTGGCTGTTTACTTACCGGACACCCTGCATATTGAGAGAGGCTATACCTATAAACCGTACGTTAGGATCTAGGTTTCTTACTACGGTTTTCAGTTTATTTAGCTTTAAGGTTAAATCTTTTTAATTGAATTGTTGAGATATAAAGTTTAATTACCAAAATTACTTTTGTCAATAGATTCATTATCATGGTGGCATTATTATTTATACTGGTCGTTCATCAACTCCAATTAAAAATAATAATGGACAAAGTTGCAAAAATGTACAACTAATGCCTAACAATACAGTACAAGATTACCTTTTAAAACATCTGTGATCATAAAACATGGTCGTTATGAGAGTTTTTGACATAAAATTAACAAAAATACTTATAACACGGATAGTAAGAATAGTTAATATTATGATTTTAAGCGTATGGACTATTATCAAAATGAATAACAGTAAAAAAATATAGTCATGTTAGTGTAACTTACAAACATTTGACATGTAATAAGTTTAAAAGTTAATACTTGAATGTACAGTATCCTTATATACTTAACGAAAAAATTAAAAAAAATATTGTTTTTTAACGTATAATAGGGCCTATACTTACATTTACAGTCGATGTAAAGAGATGAGTACCTCGAAATCAATTAAAATATATCCTATGTTAGTTCTGATATTTATGCGTATTCCCAACACTTGTTTTTTTAACGTTCCATTGTTTCGATACTATTGATTAGTAATAAAACTGATTGTAAATCTGCGAGTTGTAAAGGCAAAGAGAGCGTATTATTGGTTACATACCTTATTTTTGACCGTAGGCAATTAAAATTAGATTTTTTTATGAAATTAACAGTTCAATGAAATAGTTAAAGGTTATATAGTAAGATGTTTAAATGTTCAACCCTTCTTGATGATTATATAAGTTGCTGAGCTTGCTGAGCTATTTGAGCTTGTTTCAGATACTTATCAGAATAAAATTTTAAGAATGGTGTAGGCGTTCATAATTTGTTTTTGTTTTCATCATAATTCAATGGATCATAACGCTTGAAACTCTCATAACATTATAAAAAAATTCAAAGTAAATAGCATTTTTTCAAACAAGTATTTGTTAGTGACATTATGTGGAGGTATTTTTTCATTAAAATTTTGTTTCCTTTATTTGAACTTCTCTGCAATTAATGGAAATACATTACAAAATATATATATTAAAGAAATACAGAAGTAATTAAAGTAGGTGTAGATATATACCTTAGTAATAACAATAGCACTAAATGAGTTTTTTGCACAATAAACATAGTTTATTATGCATTGTACTATTTAATTAGATAATAAAATCGGACATATATGAGTCATATAAATGTTGCGTCCGTAATAATGGCATACACAATAAAATAGATATTCTACGCGGTAGGTGAAATTGAAATTATGAAATGTAATTAGCTTTTGTCAAATGTAAAGACCGTAACTAACTATCACACGGTCTGGTTTTTATTTAAACGCTACGGGGACTTGAATCACCAATGATTTACGATTCAGTTGTGATTTGAAGTCATTCAATTAAAAAAAAATCTTTTTTTTGGTGACGAAAGAACTTGGTGACGTTTTAAAAACTCAAGTTATAAATCTTTTAGTAAAAAAAGATTTATAAAAAGTTAAATTTAATATTGATTTGGGGATTGTAGCTCGTCGCTAACACGTTCGATTTGATTAGTCATTTACAACCGTGATTTTGAATTAGATAAACATGTAAATTGTATAATTAAAGGTTATAAGGTAAAATGATTTACTGTATTTGCAAAGCTTCTTGCTGACTAATTGCCTACTGTTTTTGTTAATACAAATAAAAAAAAACTAAAAATGACTTTGTTGATTTTGTTTTTATCATAATTCAATGGATCATAACGCTTCAAACTCTCTTAACATCATTTTAACAAAAAAATGTAAATTGCATTTCTTTTAACAAGTAACGCTTAAAATTATTCGTGATATTATGTGGAGGTGTTTTCATTAAAATTGTGTTTTCTTTGCACTAACATGACTCGATATTTGGAGTGTCATTGGACTCGATAATAGTCCATGTACTTCAAATTGTATAAATAACATTTATATCTCTTAGTACTTAACACCACACTATTGTGTTTTTAGCTGTTTCAGAAATGTTTATTGGAGGCCGAAAGCTATGTATTGCTGCTGTCCATGCCAGCTGTCATCGTCAATTGGGACTGAGCAGGGTTTTACATCCCTAGAGCCAAAACATGTTTTGCTTATTTACTTAACTTAAAACATTAATGAATATGAAATACTCAAGCAGTGTCCATATTCATTGCAAATTATTTGTTTTATTGTCACCACTGCCTAGGAATATATTTATTGTTATTTTTACTAATTCCTAAAAAATAGTTCACATAACCTTATAGTTGTAGTTCTGTCAACTGTTAGTTGAATTATGATTTTTTTATTTGAAAAAAAAAAACACTATAATTAGTGCGATTTACAAATAAAAGTCATGTTGTGATAAATCATTTTATTTCAATTTTAAATCACAACGTTTCGTATTCAGTATATTCCAGTGCATAAAATAATATGTTAACTGAGCGATACTTGTGTCGCCCAATTCCTGTGGGTAGTGCCAGCATGTTTTTTTAATCAACATTTTAAAAGTGTCGGAGTCTATGCACAATTTATGTCAACTTCCAAAAGCATTCTGTTGCTACATTTTATTACTTCTAATTACTATGATTTTTACAAAAGTAAATATAACTTAAGTCTACCCCCAGACCTGTGTTAATTATCGACGACAGACGTTATTTAACATAAAACGTTGTTAAAATAAGCAAGAGTTTTGTTTAAACATTTATTTTTTGTTTAAGATTTTCTGTACAGTATTGATAGAATTGATTTGTAAAAGGTATAATCTTAACCAGGGAATGAAATATAGTTAATAGAACCCCCGTTAGTACAGCGCCGCTGTCACCCGGTCGGGGTTCCTTAACCCATGGTGTTAAATGCCATCCTGGTGTTTTCCAGGCCATAGTCCACGTCTGGAATGAGAGATGCGAAGTTCTGCTAGTGCGCCCTAAAAATAAAAAGTAATTAGTTGTTACAAGCAATGCGATTAGTATTTTCAATTTTAGTGAATATCGGAAATATTACAAGAGTTTGAAAATGGATGTAAGTTTTATGTTTTATGAAAATAGTCTTAAATGTTTGAAAAAAATAGATAAAATTTAACCAGTAGACTTTTCTAGTCGTTACATGACTTTGATTGGCGTATACTAGTTCTCACTGCATTTTAAATGTGTTAGCTTTTATGTTGTTTAAAAAACCAATCACATCGTTTGGCCTTATTAATTCAAAACATACAACAAATCTGTATTTATTTTTTATGAACTAATTATTTTGTAAACATCAACTTATCCAAATCAGACGATTAAAGCTATACTACTTGCAAGATAAAATACAAGCTTTTAAAATATAATTATATTTTACTATTGCAAGAATACTTACATCAAGTAATAGAGCCAACGCTGTGACAGCTACGAGAAAAGCTGGCGTGAACAACATCTGAAATGAAACATTTTCTAAAAGTTTACGCAACTCTGAATTTAATAAGTGACAATATTAACACTGATTATGATGTTAACTAAATACTTATTAAGATGCAGGGTGTCCCTTAAGTAAACAGCCAAATTACGGGGTAGAGTAAGGCAGGAGCTAGTCAGGTTTGCCCCATTTTACAACTAAAAATCGTAATATTTCAGCTATTATTATTTGTTTGTTGTATTATTATTTGCTATTATTATATTCATTTGATACTTTTTTAACTTGGTATAGTGTGATAGTGAATTACACATGCTAAATGAAGCCGTTTTTGAGTAATTTAAGTTTAAAAATTAAAACGGCCGCCATTTTGAAATTTTTCATTGAGACAAGATTTTTTTTTTAATTGGTATTTTCTACCTTACCCTACATACCAAATTTTATATAGACCGGTAAAAAAAATCAAAATAAAATGTTTATTAAAAAATACAAAATGGCGGATATCTGGTTAACGAAGCGATTTTGAATAAAGTGTTATGTTTGATTTTCTCTTTATTTGACCCATAGAACCATTTCCCGGAGTTTGGCTGTTTACTTACTGGACACTCTAAATATTGAGAGAGGCTATACTTGTAGACCGTACGTTTGGATCTGGGTTTCCTAATACGGTTTTCTGTTTATTTAGCTTTAACGTTAAATCTTGTTAATTAAATTGTTGAGTTATAAAGTTTAATTACTAAAATTACTTTTGTCAATAGATTCATTATCATGGTGGTATTATTATTTATACTGGTCGTTCATCAACTCCAATTAAAAATAATAATGGCCAAAGTTGCACAAAAAGGTACGGCTTATGCCTTAACAAAACAATACAAGATTACCTTTTAAAATATCTGCGAACATAAAACATGGTTATTATGAGAGTTTTTAGACATAAAATTAACAAAAATACTTATAACACGGATAGTAAGAATAGTTAATAATATGATTTAAAGCATATGGACTATTATCAAAATGAATAACAGTAAAAAAATATAGTCATGTTTGTGTAACTTACAAACATTTGACATGTAAGTTAATACTTGAATTTATCCTCCTATACTTAACGAAAATTTTTTTAATAAATATTGTTTTTAACGTATAATAGGGCCTATACTTACATTTACAATTGATTTAAAGAGATGAGTACCTCAAAATCTATTGAAATCTATCCTATGTTAGTTCTGATATTTATACGTATTCCTAACACTTGTTTTTTTAACGTTCCATTGTTTCCATACTATCGATTAGTGATAAAACTGATTGTAAATCTGCGAGTTGTAAAGGCAAAGAGAGCATATTATTGGTTACGTACATTATTTGTGACCATAGGCAATTACGATTAGATTTTTTTATGAGATAAACAGTTGTATGAAATAATTAAAGGTTATATAGTAAGATGTTTCAATGTTCAACCCTTCTTGATGATTATATAGGTTGCTGAGCTATTTGAGCTTGTTTCAGATACTTATCAGAAAAAAAAATTAAGAATGGCGTAGGCATTCCTAATTTGTTTAGTTTTTGTTTTAAACATAATTCAATAGATCATAACGCTTGAAACTCTCATAACATAATAAAAAAATCAATGTAAATAATAATTGTTTCCAAAAAGTAACATTTAAATTGTTAGTGACATTATGTGGAGGTGTTTTTATTAAAATGATATTTTCTTTATTTGAAATTCTCTGCAATTTATGGAAATACATTACAACATATATAGTAAAAAAATACAGAAGTGATTAAAGTAGGTGTAGTACTAAATGAGTTTTTTGCACAATAAACATTGTTTATTATGCATTGTACTATTTAATTAGATAATAAAATCGGACATATATGAGTCGTATAAATGTTGCATCCATAATAATGGAATACAAAATAAAATGGATATTATACGCGGTAGGTGAAATTAAATTATGAAATGTAATTAGCTTTTGTCAAATGTAAATACCATAACTAACTAACAAACCGTCTGGTTTACATTTAAACGCTACGTTTTACTTTACTTGAATCACAAATTATTTACGATTCATTCGTCGGTATTCAGTCGTTATGTGAAGTCATTTATTTTTAAAAAAAATATTTGTTTGTGACATTGTCATCAAAACTGTAAATAACAATAATTATATTGTGTAACCTCCCAAAGGGAGTTACATGAATTGCCAAGTCAGTCGGTTTGGGTCGAGGGTGTTGCCTAATTGTATTTTCAGTCTTGTATTCAGTTCACCTTGTAGTCACAGGGCGCCACCTCATTTGCCTTAGGGTAGGGGGGAGTTCCATTAATGAGGAAAGGGAATTCCTAGCGGGTTGGACGGTTGCCTGGTATTAAGGTGACCGTAAGGTGAGCCTGATTACGAAAGACGTGAATACGACAAAAGAACAAGTTTTACGTGACCAAAATGAACACACCTTACAATCTATAATTACTAAAATGTACCCTAACCTCAAGATCTAGAGGTAACTGTGAGCGTAAAAACCTAGAATTGAGTTAGGCCTACCTAGTTGTGTGGATACTGATCCATTTTATCAAGGGGAAATAGGCTACATGACTTAACTAGTAAGGGAATCAATAATACAATACAATTACAAGTTACAAAATGCAAATTTACTAGAGAAAAATTCAAATATTGACAATACAAAGAATTGAAATGTGGTTCAAAATTAAAGAACACAATTAATTTCAGTACAAAAAGGCAGCAAAAATTCCTTAACCAAAAAAATATTCTCAAGTACCGAGTGGTTCAAAACATGGACAATAATAACAAGTAAAGACCCTTCAATGAAACAAGAAACAATTTTCTGAATTTACTAATCTCAAATATTCGAAAACATGAAACAATTTAAGTTACTGAGTATTAAATCTCAAAAATATTGGAACATGAAACAAACGATTTAAATAAACACTGACAAGTTAACAAATTAGAATGTGGGTTTTAAACAGGTTACTATTTACATACACTAGGCCTAACCAGAACCTAACACATTCCTTCAGTAAATTAAATGATTAAATTTCAGACAATATTTTCATGAATTTAGGTGGCCACCTGAAATAAACACAATATAATACACAATGAAACAATGATACAAATAAATATAAATATTACGATGAATGTTGCTTAACCTACGTTGCTTCTTCAGAAACGGAGCGTCCAACCTAACCTAACCTAACACTCCCCAAAACGGGCAGGGTGCACTCAGTCTTCCATTTTGTTGATAATGGAACGGCTCAAATTGAAACAGAAAAGATTTGCCTGCACACAGTAAGTTAACTTAGGCCTAGGACTTATCGTTTTCACATCCAGTCGAATCTTGGGCCCAGAGTCTCCATGGCAATAGGGCCGGAGCGTCCAACGATTGGTAGGGTAGACTTCAGTGGCAAGTTACAGTGACACTGCAGCGGCGATGAGGTCGTCAATAGGCAGGTCTTGGAAGTCCAAAACGTCTCTGGTCCGTAACTGCTCCCTGTACAACCCAAAGGGAATAGAATGTTGCAATGGTAAGATATGTGGGTTTTAGTAGCACTAAATGTTTGTTCTATGAGGTCAACCACAAGAGTTCTAATAGTTCAGTCTTAATATGGTTTGACCCGATGCACTGCACTACCTAGGCCTAACTTCTGTGAACAGGCAATAGTTCAGTCACTCAAAAGGCAAAATTAGCCGGGAACCAGATTGGAGTGTCAATAATTATATTGTTCATTCACTCCGAAACGGAGATAGCAAAACAGGCTAGTAATTGCGCACTTCAATGGGGTGAGCAAGCTAGTAAGCATCTTGGTTAGGTTAGGTACTTTCAACTGAATTTTTACATCATAAATCAAAGAAATAGTAATTAATAAACATAAGATTGACTAGAGCTAATTTATTTTACTTTTTTTTATATTTTTAAACATATGTTTTTCAAGTTTCCACAAAAGTAACGGTTCTAGGCCTAAGCCAACTTCCAGCCAACAAAATTCAAAATTGAATTTAAAACTTCCTTTAAATCAACATATCTGTGATCCACTTTCTAAATAGCTATACCTGTAACCTATGGTTGTAATAAAATAACATAAACTAATAATGTCCAACCATGTGCTCAACTTGTCATGATTCTGCAGGCAACCATATCCTAGAACATCTTATTTTCACACAAAAATCAATTTTTAATTCGACAAAAATTCAACAAAAATACTAAAACAAGACATTTATTTACATACACAAGTTTGTTAGGCCTTAACCTCACTACTTCGTCTTTGAATCCAAAATATGTTTAGATTGCGACATGTCAAAACCAAACTTGATAGTCAACGACTAGTCTCTTTTTTTCAACTATTCTCGCTTAAAACACATAATAAAGAATTTAACTAAGTTTATCCCTCTGTAGGAACACCAAATAAATACATAATTTGAAAGGCTAAGTATCAGAAATTTACAAAATTACACTTTAGGCTTGGACAAACTTTTCCCTGACATGTCCATTTTGGTTTTCTCGTGCCGAGTGCTTCGACAATTTCAATAATCAAAATGAATTGAACCTAAACACAAACGTTGACATTACACAGAAAGACAAAATACAATAAAAGGACAAATAATTTAACTAACTGAAATTCAGACTCACCCCGATCACATAAATCCCAGGCTAGGGTTCGGGGACAGTAGTTGAGAGTCTTGGAGGACAAGAAAAGGAAGAAGTATCATGGCCGTCGTCTCAGAGAAGAAGGACGAAAGGAATCACTTCCAAAACCAAGGAACAAGGGGGGGGGGAAACTGAGTCCAGTTGGTGTAGATCCGGAGTCAACTCTTCTTTTATTTTGATTTTGGGTCTCAAACGGCAGGCAGCATAGCGCGCTTATGCAGCTTATAAACATAGCTGAGTTGATCAGTCTCAGCATTGTTGAGAGGATTGAATAAAAGTAGATTTCACTTCGGAACGTTACAATTGGGTATTAAAAATTCACAAACAACCCAAATATGACAAGAGGTAAATAGAAGTATCACCATTGCTTCTGTATGAAAGGAGCTTAATACGTAAAATTGAAAGCCATGCCAACAGGATTTTAAGATCAGTTCACCGTTTGAATAGTAAAAACAATTAAATCATCCATATTATTATTATAAGCATTATTTCCTATGAGCTATCCAACTGATAACAATATATTTACGACCTAGAAGCAGTGCACCATGTCTATCATCATCTTATGTTATGACCATCATCTTAAAATGGGTCAATATAAGTTTATTATTTATATATAAACATTCAAGGACTTATGTTTACATATCAGAACCAAGCATTGGTACTACGCTTATTTGATACCTTTTCATAAATTATTTAATCAATTAAAAATCACGATCAATTGTATATTTTTCGCCATGTTTCGGCGTAGAAAAAAATAATTAAATAATTCTTAATTGAAAGAATTATTTCATTATTTTTGTCTATGGTTTCGGTCATATTACTGCCCAGCACCTTTTCTCTGGCAAGTTAAAATAACCCCAAACACAAAATACATAGAAAACACTCATTTATACATGCTCAGTTTCATGATGTAACTAAACTAGCTTTAAACCTGATAGCGCTGCGAAATTCTGATGGAGTCGCACTTAAACCTTAACTTGAACATTAGTTAAACCTTCAAATAAACTACTGACATGTTTCCAAGCTATAAAGTCATAACTTCTAGTTTCAGGATGCTTAGTTCAGCTTATCCTTGCTTATTAATTATTAAGGTTAGTTATACTACTGGTTTGGAGTGGCTATCTATACCTTAATTGATATTTATAAAGCAGGATTGACCATAATAGGTGTTTAAATTCTAAATGCTTTAAACATGTATTAAATTCAAATGTATTACATTAATAAATACAAAAAATATAAATATCTATAAAAATCCGTAAGTTTAATTTTTTTATATATATAGTACTCGGAATGCAGTTTACATATAAATTTAATAACGAAGTTTAATCCAAAACTTGATATTCCCTGATGAGTAAATGTAACCAAAGGGTGTGGATACGTCACCAAGTTCTTTGTGGTCTCTAATTATTACTCATTTATTGTTTGGCTTCAATTTAATTAATCATTTGATAAAATCTGTTAAATTTAAAATAAGCAGAGTGCCTTCGTTGAACATAAAATTATTTTTATTTTGAAATTTCTCTTTAGTTAAATACTTGTCTCCCCAATTATAAATAACTCCCAAAACTGTTTATGGTCTTAAATAATTCGTCAAAGTCTTAACTTGTATTTTAGCTAAAGATTGCTAATTGATTGTTATTTATAATTGGGTAAATATGTCTTATACCAAAGCCAAATTTATAAATAAAAAAAATTTTTTG